TGTTATCTGATGTTACTGATTTTCTAACCGGAGGACTCCCTTTAGTATTTCTTGTATTTTTGTTTGGTTTTTGCAGATTCCCTAAACTTCTGTTTATCTGGAAATGCCCTAAGTTCATCATCATGTTTGAGAGACAGTGTTGCTGGGTGTATAATTCTTGGCTGGCAGTTTTTTTTCCTTCAAGGCTTTATATATGTCATCCCATTGCCTTCTTGCCTGCGTGGTTTCCACTGAGCAGTCCGAGCTTATTCTTATTGACTCTCCTTTGTAGATGACTTTTCGTTTCTCCATAGCCACTCTTAAAATTCTGTCTTTACCTTTGGTTTTGGCAAGTTTGATTATGTCTTGGTGGCTTTCTTTTGGGATCTACCTTATGTGGGGTTCGATGAGCATCTTGGATAGATATCTTGTCATCTTTCACGATATCAGGGAAGGTTTCTGCCAATAATTCTCTCTGTATTTTCTTTTATCCGCCCTGTTCTGGTACTCCAGTCACTCATAGGTTATTCCTTTTGATAGAGTCACACATAATTCTTAGGGTTTCTTCATTTTTTTTTAATCCTTTTATCAGATTTTTCTGCAAATAAGTTGCTGTCAAGTGCTTTATGTTCAGTCTCACTAATTCTGACTTCCATTGCCTCAGTTCTGCTCCTGTGACTTTCTATTGATTGTCTAATTCTGAAATGTTATTGTTAATCTTCTAGATTTCTGATTGCTGTCTCTCTATAGATTCTTGCAGCCTGTTAAATTTGTCATTATGCTCTTCTGTTTTTAATTTCCTGTATTGCGTCTTCTGCGTTTTGCTTAATTTCCTTCCTAATTTCTTGAAGAGTTCTGTATATTAATCTTTTGTATTCTGCCTCGAGTAATTTCAAGACATTTTCCTCCTCTGGAAAATTTCTAGATTCTTTACTTTGGGAGCTTGCTGAAGCCATCATGGACTGCCTCTTTATGTGATTTGATATTGACTGTCGCCTCCGAGCCATCAATAAGTTATTATATTTATTTTATGTTTGCTTACTGTGTCCTACGTTCTTGTTTTGTTTTGATATGCCCAAATAGGCTTCTCTTGTGAGCTAGTTTGATCACTGGCACCTTTGAAGCTCTAATGTCCTGTCCCAGGTGGTTAGATCTGTTACTAGGTATGTGAGCTCAGGAGTCTGCCTGCTCCTCCTGTATGGATTCAGCTCATGTGCCGGGGTAGATAGCCACCAAGTGTGTGGTGTAGTAGGCTCTCACTTACAGTCCTAGACAGGCATGGGTGATGGTGTAGGCACAGGCATCTGGCTTCAACAGGGTGACACACTCTGAGCAAGGCAGGTGTCTCACGGCCACCCCGTGTGTCCAGGAGTAAGGTATATTCCTGTTCCCTAGAGCGCATAGGTGGGTGGGTTTTGCAGCCAGACTATGAGCACCCAATGCTGTTGGCTGTAAGGACTGGGGGGCACCTTTTATTCATGGGCCCTTATCACAGGTGGCTAGGTGGCATGAGTGGAGCCACCAGTCCTCAGGCCCCTGATGTGGGTAGGTGAAGACCTGTTTAATGGGCAGAGCAGTGTCAAATGTCAAGAACCTACCACTTCACAGCTGAAACAGTTTAAATTAGACTTCAGGTATCTACCCTGTTGTACTGCAGTAATGAGGGCCTACGCTGTTGAAATGGGCCCACACAAGTCTGTGCAGGGGAGAAGGCACTCAAAGTCCGTGGATCCCTTATGCCTGTGCCTAGGCAAAGGAGCTGTGCCTACCCTGGGTTCCTGGCTTTGGGAAGCTGGCAGTTTATTTTTTTACCCTGTTTGTTAATTTGTTCACTCTCCATGGCAGGGAGAATGGCTCTGGGTGTGTGACAGATCCTACTTCCAGCCCAGAGGACTTGGTGTTGCTGAAGCCAGTCTGGGACCCAGTGCAGAGCAGGGAGCAGGGAGGTAAATGGGAGAGAAGTTTTTCCCCAAGGAATGTGTTTTTGCTCAGCGTGGTAGGCAGTAAACAAGTACTTATCTTTCGTCGATCGAGGGCTGCTTCTCACTGGTTCTGGGTCACCATGTAGACTCCCTGGCCCTGGGTCTCTCTCTCCCAGTGCGGAAAATGCTCCTTCCGAGCACCGTTGCTTGCTGCCTCACCGCTCACCCATGAGCTGATCAAGCCTGAAGGGCTCAGGCTCTCGCTGGGTCAGGTCTGGCAACTCCTCGCTGCTTCCGAACTGTCTCTCCCTCCCCCAGCCACTCAGTCTGGTTCCTCAACTCTGCCTTTGATGTTCAGGGCCCCTAGATTGCCATATATAATCGATTACTTGTTTTTTCGGGTCTTTGTTGTAAGATGGGCCACCAGAAGCGTCTGACTACTTCGCCATCTTGGCCCTGCCTCCCATGTCTTTCTTTTAAGAATTTGGGATTGTGTCTATGGTGGGTTTTGCTTGGAGCAGGGATATAATCTAAACTGTACAACTGTTAATTTAAGGGAGGGTTGGACCTCCCTTGCATAAAGGTCTCTAGTGGCTACTTTGAACAACTCGATCCAGAAAGCATCTAAGTATAGGGGAAATACCCCATTCTGTACCCTTTCAGTTCAGGAAGGCAGTTCTCTCTGTCAGTGGGTAGTGGTTGGAACTGCCTAGAGGACACAGAAGGGAAATGGAAACACCATTATCTGCCTAGCCAGTTGGTTCTGCTCATTCCTACAGGCCAAACCCGTGACTATCTTGGTCTTAGTAGTATAGTGTGTTTAGAAAACGTGGAGATAAGCAGAGAATAGTGCTATCATGTGTGACCACTGGGTGACATCAATAGCCAAAGATTTTCTCATATCAGCCAACCAGCTTCCTCTGGAGAAGCCGAGCAGCTAGGTGGGGCAGAGCCATCATTTGGTTATGAGGACTGATGGCTTGTGTACGCAGGTCTGCTACGGGCTTGGGAAGAGACCTTGGGTGCCAGTTAAAAATACAGCAACAATTTGAGATCATCTGATGAGACGTAGCACAAGACTCCATTTCTCTCCTGTTAATAAAATTCCCTGAGCAGACAAAGTGATCAGTGGTGGTTTGCCTTTAAATTTCCTAGTTAAGCCTTGTTGCTTATGAAGAGACTTTCGCAGGTCTCCTTACAAGCTAACTTGGCCTCTTTATTCTCTGGTTACCAGCACTGATCTGGAACCTGGGAAAAGGGTAGGTAGTTGTCTATTAGGTACTGACCCTGTCCTGGGCAGGGACGAGAGTGCAGTCATTCTGTAACTGCCAGGAAGATCTGAAGAGAGCTGGAATAGGAAAGCCGAGTCAAGATCAGTGTGGTTGCCTCAAAAGTGTCAGCTTAAATGTTGCATGCTATCTTTTGTGACAGTGAGAGAAAGGAAGGTAAGAAAGCTGAAGTACCAAAACTTGAGTGCCAACAAGCCAGGAGATGGGAAGCCCCCATACCGCCCACAGATTGGCCTCTGGAGATCTCATCTTGCTGGATTTGTGTCTCATTCAGCCCAAAACCACTCTCCTATCTGTGTCTCATTCTCAGCAATGGGTGACGAGCCGGCAGATGCGATTTGAAGGTGGATTTCAAGGCCGTTGCAACAAGCTGGTGGATGGCTGCTACTCCTTCTGGCAGGCTGGGCTTCTACCCCTGCTCCATCGAGCACTGCACGCCCAAGGTGAGTCCAGGGGCCTGTCAGCCAGGGTTAGATTTCTTCCCAGGGTGGTGATGTTGTTGTTAGGTGCCGTCGATTCCGACTCATAGCGACCCTATAGGACAGAGTAGAACTGCCCCATAGGGTTTCCAAGGAGCAGCTGGTGGATTCAGACTGCCAACCTTTTTGGTTAGCAGCCAAACTCTTTAACCACTATGCTACCAGGGCTCCAAATCAGGAAGCCAGAGTGATTTTTTTAAAGTTTGAAACAGGTCTGTCTACCCTGAATTATAAATGCCCTGCCTGGAACCTCCTACCTTAGGGCATACATACGCAGAGAAGGATTTTGTCCCCCTGGTGTAAGGGTCATTGCTGCTTCAAACTGGCTGTGGCAGTCAGAAATTGTTTTTAGCTGGTCATGAGGACCCCATGCACAACAGAACTAAATGCTGCCCAGTCCTGTGCCATGATTGCTTGTGAATGGGACCATTGTGATCCATCAGGTTTTCATTGACTGATTTTCAGAAGTAGATTTCCAGGCCTTTCTTCCTAGTCCATCTTAGTCTACCCGTTCATTACCATAGCAATACGCAAGCCTCCATTGACAGATGGGTGGTTGCTGTGCTTGAGGTGCATTGGCTGGGAATTGAACCCAAGTCTTCCACAGGGGAGGTGAGAATTCTCTCACTGAACCACCACTGCCCCAGTGGCAAGAATGACCTCTTTTTAAATGCTATGAGGCTGTTGCTGCTTCTGTGTTATCTGGAGGGGCCAGCTCACTCCTGTCCTGGGCACCAGGGTGCCTGCCACCTCTGCTGGGTGTGAGCCAGTTCCCAACCTAAATCTCCTTACTCCTCATGTCAGAACTGAAAACCCACCCTCTGCACATGGTCACACAGTGACAGGATAGGCGATTGCATCAAGGGGCAGGAAACCAGGATCCACCAAGAAAAGAAAGACTCAGCATATCTGGCTGGCTACATAGTTGTTGCCAGCAAAAACGTTTCATTTTAAAAAATGTTTCATTTTAAATTCACTGAACAATGTGAAGTGCAAGTTTGTTCTACCCTAGCTGTTGGAGTGGAGAAACTCATGTGCTTTTCTGTGGAGTCTCAGTTGGAGATGCAGAACCATCTCCAATATAGTAATATATAGCAAGCAAAAATTCTGGGAACACTCCCTTATTACCTCTTGAAATCTCAGGCTGCCTGCTAACTCCTGAATCATCTTTCTCATTTATTTTGTGTGAGAACAGGGTGTCTCTGAGTAAGCCAGTAGGAGAGGGGAATTCATGGCTGCCCCGCTGGTAGGGGACCTGTTCGTGGAGGGAGATCCTTGGCCCAGAGGGAAGCTTTTCATTGGATGTAGTAGTTGAGTAATTAATTGTTCGAATGTAGAAGATGAGACTCTTTTTTATGCCCCCCTCCCCTTTTCTTCTTGTTTGGCTTCTCTTTCTGCACCTGTTTCTTTGGTTTCTTAATTGCATTTGGGTTCTGGAGTTGTGACCACTTTTGTTGCTGAATTGAAATGAACAGAGACCCTTTCCTCTCTTCCTGTTCTCTGCTGCTGCATCTGTCCTGAGATTTCTTCAACCTAGTCATTCCAAGCCCAGGCTCTGGGGCACTGGGCTTAGTCTCAGGGTTCCCCCAACTCGGGAGCCTGCCCGGTTTCTGGCTTGACCACTAGTAGGGAGGTCAGCAATTCCCTGAAAGTACAGTGTTTCCAAAAATGGAAGTAACTTGGAGTTTTGGTGATCTTTTTATTTGGAACTGGTGAGGTTGAGCATCTGGTAAAACTGCCAGCCTTTTCTGTACCTGTCACTGGCAGGCAGAAGTGCTCGCAGGAAAATCTGGAGAGCGCTCTAACAGGAGAGCTGCCTGCCAGCGCCTGCAGGGGGCGCTGCTGTTGATGTTTTGCTTATTGCAGCACCAGCTCTGGAGGACTAGTCCCGTTCAAAGCTATCCTGTGGAAAAGGTTGCCTGTGACTCCTGGGCTTCTAGCTTTTTCCACTGCCTGGGAGAAGGCCCGTGTTGGGCCCGAAAGGACACTTACCTCCTTCTTGGAATTAGTAGACATGGAACAGACAGGGGTCTGGATCAAAGGGAAGTGTTTTGAGCAGTAGGCAAAATACTGACCTTGGGAGTCAAAAGGAGTTATAGGAAGACATTCACAATATATTGTGATCAAAGTTAGGTTTCAAAGCAGTATGTGTACAATCCCATTTTTAGTGAAGAGTTGATACCAAAATATTAATAGAAAGTATCTGCGTGTTGTTTATTTTCCTTCTTTTTTTGTTTTGTATCTTTGATTTTTATACAGCTAATATGTATTTCTTGGGTAAAGAAAAACAATAAAAGTTATTTTTTAAAAGAAGGGAAATTTTATAAATAAACACAAGTAGCAAGCTGAGGAAAATATTTGTGACATATGATGAGGGGCTAATTGCTTTAATTAAAAAAAAAAAATTCATACAAATCAATAAGAAAAGGATGAGCGGCCAGTGGAGAAACAGGCAGAGAAAGTGGACAGAGCCCATAAAAGGAAGTGCTACTATTATTATTACTGCTATCCTTAGTCCTGCTTCTGCTACAACTGCTGCGATTACTGGCCGCTGAGACTTACTGAGGACTCACCGTGTCCCAGAGACCGTACTGAGCATTTCACATGTATTCTCCTCTTTTGAGCCTCAGAACAACCCTATGAAATAAGTACGATTGCTGTCCCCATTTTATGGATGAGGACACAAAGTACAGAGGGGTTAAGTGACTAGCTTTGTAACACCTGGTCGCCACCTACAACGGTTAGTAGGTGCTTGTGCAGACTGGCTGGCCTCAGAGCCATGCTTGTAACCACTGCAGCTGGCCAGTAATCAAACAAAAAGATCTTCAACTCACTTGCAGTTACAGAAATGAAAGTTCGAACAGTAGGGCACTATTCATTTTTATTATCAGATTGGCAGAGATTAAAAACCTAATAGCAGCCTGTGCTGGGGAGTGTGTGGGAAACCAGGCACTTCTGCACCGCTAGTGGGGATGTAAATTGGTGCATCACTTTCTGGAGGGCAGTTTGGAGACTTCAGTTTAAATTATAAGGGCATGTACCCTTTAGAACCCAGTGACTGCACTGTTGGGAGTTTCTCTGCAGAGATATTAACAAAGGATGTATATTGAAGTGAAGTTTTAATAGCAAACAACCCAAATGCCCATCAAATGTTAACAGTTAAATAAATTATGATCTGTCCATACAATAGCAGATCTCTATGGGCTGATATGGAAAGCTCTCCAGGATACATCATTAAGTGTAAAAGGCCAGGCCTAAAGCAGTGTGGAGAACGGCTGTATGTATCCGTGTGCACCCAGGCTGCAGACACAAAACTTTCCCTGGAAGCATACACAGATCAGACTCCTTTGACAGTGGGGACCTTTGGGAGAGGAAGGAGCCTTACCTTTTATTTTATATCCTTCTGTACTTTGCTTTTTTTTTTTAACCATATGCATTATTACTTTTATTTTAGTAAATGAACAAATACATTTTTTAAGGTGATGATCGTATTGCTAACTAAAAAAAAAAAAAAAAAGATTGACACAGTGCAGCCATGAATCCAGGGCATCCCCTGACTTGGCAAGTGACTGTCAGTAGCTCGATGCCAATGACTGTCTTGCACATGTAGAAGACAGTATTTGAGAAGAATGAATTATTAATATTTCAAAAATACCAAAGGCAGACTAATCCGTGCAGCATTTCATTTTTGTGGAGCAATAAGAAGGCAGCAGGCCTGTGGGATTATGGTTCCTCTGATCGTTACTTCTTGTCTGTTCTGTGAGGCATACCTTCAGCCTGTATTTCTCCACCTATGAAATTGAGCTACACCTGTCAGCTATTGCTTGGAAAGACTTGATTTCTTGGATAAAAGGTACCTTTGAAATGCAATGTGACATTATTATACCCCATTGCTGTTGAGTTGATTCCGACTCATAGTGACCCTATAGGACAGAGTAGAACTGCCCCATAGGGTTTCCAAGGAGCAACTGGTGGATTTGAACTGCCAGCCTGTTGGTTAGCAGCTGAGCTCTTAACCACTGTGCCACCATGGCTCCAACATTATTTTGGGGATCTATAATTTAGGGGGTGGGGTGGAGCCCTGGTGGCGCAGAGGTTAAAGTGTTCTGCTGCTAACCGAAAAGTTGGCAGTTCGAACCAACTAGCTGCCCCACAGGAGAAAGATGTGACAGTTTTTCTTCCGTAAAGATTTACAGCCTTAGAAACCCTATGGGGCGGTTCTGCTCTGTCCTAGAGGGCGGCTATGAGTCAGAATCGACTTGATGGCAGTGGGTTTGGTTTGGGTTTGGGTGTGTGTAAGAGATTTAAAAGGTTGATTCTAGTGCACCGTTATCCCCTGTAATCATATCTCCCTTCATCTTACTGTGATTAGGAGTGCTGGTGTGCTAATTTGGGATCTCTGCAGGTTCCCTGTAGAGTTTTTGAACTTTCAAACTCCAGTCATGTAGGAGGTGACTGAAACACTCTGTAATCTTTTTAGTAATAGCATTTTCTTTTCAGATTCTCATTTTAGCCATAGGTTATCATTTATGTTATAACAGTAGCCTTTTGTTTGTTATAGTATGTAAATGAAAAGTATATGTGGTACAGTTGTTTAATGCAGTTATCCTAAAGTTTAATAAATTATGCTGTTTGAATAAGAGCTTCATTAAGAGATAATTCACATACCATACAAGTCATCTATTTAAAGTATACAATTTGGTGTTTTTTTGTATATTCACAGAATTTTGCATCCATCACCTCAGTCAATTTTAGAACATTTTCATCATCCCAAAAAGAAACCCCATATCCATTAAATATGCTTTTTAAAAGAAGTCACAAAGGAAAAATCAACAGTTTGATTGCAGCGTAAGTTTAAAATTGTATGCGTTAAACACAAAAATAACACAAACAGAAATAACCCAAACAAAAGATCAAAAAGCCAGGGGAAAATACATGCAGCATATGTCACAGATAAAGGGTAAATATAAAAAAGCCAGATTAATAAAATTGACTGATGGATCTCAGAAGACAATGGACAAATAGACGCATCTCAAAAGGAAATGCAACTAGTAAAGTGTGGGGAAAATTTCACCCTAATTAGTAATCAGAGACATGCAAATCAAAATAAATGATCAGGTACTATTTTCTTTTTAGCATTTCAATTACTGAGAACTTTTTTTTGGTGACTAATGCTGGAGGTAATGCAGTAACGTTTTAAACTTTCCCGGAGGCTATAGAAATTTTTAAAGCTATTTTTGAAAGTAGTTTGTCAGCATCTTCTAAAAGCTTTAAAAATGTTTATTCCCTTTAACTGAATAATTCCACTCCTGTGAATCTGTTTGAAGAAAATAATCCTAAGTGGAGAATATTCACAAAGATGTTCATTGTATCATTTCTTATAATTGCAAGGAACTGGAAACAACCTTGGAAGTAAGTAAAAGAAGATACAGTTAAGCCCCATCATAAATATAGAGAGAGAGAGTGAGCGAGCTGAGCCCTGGAGTCTCAGTGGTTATTAAGCGTTTGGCTGCTAACCAAAAGGTCGGCAGTTCAAATCCACCAGCTGCTCCTTGGAAACCAACAGTCATGAAGATGGCACAGGACTGGGTAACATTTCATCCTGTTATACATAAAGTCACTGTGAGTCAGAGCTGATTCTGTGGCAGCTGACAACAACATCATTGTACTGTATGATGCAGGAGAGCAGTTACTAGTAATGCTTCTTAGGAAAACTTTTTGAGCCAAGAGAAAAGTTGGAAAATTCCTTTTGAAGAGAGTCTAAATTCAGGCTTAGACAATTAGGAGAAGAAATAAGACTTTATTATTCCTGTTAAGTGTTCCCATAGCTAATTAGAGTCTGGTAGCAAGTTTCAGAGATTTGCTAGACAAAATGTCTTAAGAAGCTCAGAGTAAAGCGTCATGGACCAAGTTCAGGAGCAGTAACACAGGCCAGTCTGGAAAGCTAAGCTAAGCAGCTAGTTCCCTGCCTGCCAGAGATGTGGTTTGGGGTGGTCATCCAGGTTAGTGGGGTACACTTCAAGGAAGCCGCTTCGAACTGCTGCTCTTTGATTCATGTCACGGTTCAGGAGAAGGGATGTGTGATGTTATAGTCATGTCTTGAATAATTTTTAGGAATAGAGGGAACTTTGAATGGTTCCATCAGGTAATTAAATACAAGTAAGTCATTGGTACTTTGCTGGACTTGGATTTGCTTCCTTCCCCCCAGGCCGTCACCATCCTTTGCCTCCCCACAGGTGATCCTGCCCTCAGTATGAGCCACTGGATGTTTCATCAGCAGGCCCTGCAGGAGTATATTCTGATGTGCTGCCAGTGCCCCGCTGGGGGGCTTCTGGATAAACCGGGCAAGTGAGTGCCTTCTCTCTGGAGAAAGAGGGAGAGATGGGAGGGGAGAGAGGCATGTTTCCCCCGGTGTGTGCCAAAGCCTCTGAAGGAAAGGCCTAGGCACCCCTTTCCATCCTTGCAGGCCCTTCCAACTGCCTAATGTTCGTGTTGCATGGGAAGAAGCACCCCAATTGGGTGCACCCCTGTGAATGCCAAGGTCTTGGCATCTCCAGTTGCCCCCACTTTACCTACACCCCCTTCTCCAGACGTATAAACAGATTTCTGGGTTGTTAGCTTTTTTTTCTAAATTTTTATTCTTTTTCCCCATAAAAAAATTTATGCATACATTGTTATGTGACCCTAATTGCTCTCTCCGTACTGTGACAGCACACTGCTTCTTTCCACCGGATTCCCTGTGTCCATTCAACCAGCTCCTCACCCTCTCTGCCTTCCCATCTCACCTCCGGACAGTAGCTGCCCGTTTAGTCTCTTATATCTACTTGATCTAAGAGGCACACTCCTCACAAGTATCACTTTATGTCCCACAGTCCAGTCCAAACCCTGTCTGAAGAGTTGAACTCAGAAATTGTTTTAGTTCTGGGCTGATAGAGAATCCAGGGTGTTTTTTTTTTTGTTTTTTTGTTTTTTTAACCAAACTGATTTAAATAGGACAGGATATAGGATTTTTAAAGCCCCTGAGTGTTGTAAACAGAGATTGTAATCATGACAGCTATTACAGAGTTGATTAAATGACTAAATCTGAGATGCCTGTATGTGCCATAATTTAAAAAGAAAGGGAAAATCAGATAATCCCTGCCCCGCTCTGCTCCCCCACCTCGCACCCCCACATCCTCCCTGCTCTGGGCATCCAGGGGAAGATCCTGCTGAAGGTCAGTCCTCAGCAATTTATCAGGAAGAATTTGGCCCATTTCTAGACATTTTGGATTTTTTTTTTCTCTAGAGAAATATATTAATTTAGCACCAGCACTGGAGAGAGCTGTGCCTCCCAGCCCTTTCTAAAAGACAGCTGGAGAGACCAACTCTAAAATTACAATTCACATTTCTGGGCAGGGCTGAAGGATGGGTTAAAAAACACAACTGCTGGGAAGACCCGTCCCCTCTAGCCGTGGGGGGGGCATTGGTGGGGGTGTGAGCATTGTAGCCCCTGAATGTGTGTGGTCACCCCTGGAACTTGAGGCAGGGCTTCAAACCGGTTCATTCCAGTTGGAACCCCTGCTGAGAGTTTGCATTTCCACCCCAGATATACCAAATTAGAATCTACGTTTTTAACAAGATTCCTAGGTGATTCTTATGTATAATATATATATTTTTTAAAGAATATTTTATTGTGTTTTCAGTGAAAGTTTACACAGCAGATTAGGTTCCCATTTAACAATTACTACACAGATTGTTCAATGACATTGGTTATTATGTATAATAAATTTTGAGAACCACTGTTCTACTAGTGGTTCTCAGAATTGGTCCCTAACCAGCAGCATTAGCATCGCCTGGGAACTTGTTAGAAATGCTAGTTCTCACAATGGGCTGGAACCTGGACGAACCAGGTGGAAGCCTTGGTTTGATAACACTTGCTCCAGAGACTGGGGAGCAGAGGAGCTCCTGTTCAGAGCCAGCCTGTCCTTGCAGGTCACGTGACTTCTACCACACCTGCTACTGCTTGAGCGGTTTGTCCATAGCCCAGCACTTTGGCAGCGGAGCCATGCTGCATGATGTGGTCCTGGGGGTGCCCGAGAACGCTCTGGTAAGGTGGGATGGGGGGCTCAACACCCTTCCTTCACAGGGCCCAGGACAGGGGGCTTGCCAAGGAGGCAGCACAGGACCATTAGTGTGTGGAACTAGCTGGGTGTGTGTCCTGTGTGGACAGGCTAGTCAGCTCAAAGTCCTACCCTCCTCCCGCTTTGCAGCCCACTCATGAGGTTGAGGACTTTCTCCCCATTTTGTGACACTGTGGAGGACACGCCCCTCTAGGCCAACTCAGAGTTCCGGCCAGTGGTCTAATCTGTGAGAGAAGTTTTGTGCCTTTATTCTAGGGCCTCAAACCTAACCACCACTTACAAGGGTCCCCTCTCTGAGGAAGCCACAGAGAAGCATCAGGCAAGGTCTGCGAGAGGTCCTGATACCACAAGGCTTCCATTGTTTCCAGGGACACGCGCACCCTCTCCCGTACATAGATGTCCTCACCAATCCACAAGGCCCTAAAAGAGAGCCCTCAAGGTCCTGGGTCCCCAAGTCATTGGGACCTCAATGAATATGCATGACTTGGGCCTTAATGCATAGTTATTATCAATCTAATCAGTGAATATGCATGACTGCATTTAGACCCCCCCCTCCCTTCCTGAAGTTCGTTCGCCAGGTGTAGGCCTTGTGTAGCCCTTACTTGCCTGGCTATTTTGGAAAACAAATGCCTGTCTTGATTGCTTGGGTTATTTTCAGAAACCAGAGTCAAAGAGCCAAACCAAGTTCTTTGCCCTTATGTACACATTTTTTAAAAGTAAGTTTGGGATAATATTGTGCATACTATTGTTCTCAACATGTTATAAGCATATCCCCATATCATTAAATATTTGAAAGCATGCTTTTTTTTTGTAATTGAATTTTAGATGGTTTACAGAACAAACTAGCTTCTCATTAAACAGTACACATTGTTTTATGACATTGGTTACCAACCCCACGACATGTCAGCACTCCCCCTTCTCGACCTTGGGTTCCCTATTACCAGCTTTCCTGTCCCGTCCTCCCTTCTAGTCCTTGCCCCTGGGCTGGTGTGCCCCTTTAGTCTTGTTTTTTATGGGCCTGTCTAATCTTTGGCTGAAGGGTGAACCTCAGGAGTGACTTCATTACTGAGCTAAAAGGGTGTCTAGGGGCCTTACTCTCAGGGTTTCTCCAGTGTCTCTCAGGCCAGTAAGTCTGGTCTTTTTTGTGAGTTAGAATTTTGTTCTGCATTTTTCTCCAGCTCTGTCTGGGGCCCTCTATTGTGATCCCTGTCAGGGCAGTCAGGGGTGGTCTAAAAGCATGCTTTTTAATGGCTGTATAATATTACTTGGTATTTAATCATATAATATGTTTTTAGCAAATACCCTGTTGAACTGGTACAGGCTGTTGAACATTTGGGCCTGGTGTGATAAATCTTTGTGTATATTCCAATGGTTCTGTATAGTAAATTCTTAGAAGTATGCTATGTGTTCAAGGAGGTGAATACTTCAGGGACCACTGGGGTGATTAACTGGCATCTGTCCTTCTTGCAGCAGCCCACTCATCCTGTATACAACATTGGACCCGATAAGGTGATCCAGGCCACCATGCACTTTCTGCAAAAGCCAGTCCCCAGCTTCGGGGAGCAGGAGGACGAGGCAACAGCAGAGTCTGCCACCGACTAGAGGACATGGAGTTCCCTGGGTCTGTGTTCACCCACTGCCCCAGTCAGACCAAGGTCGATACGTTCCAATACATACTGCATTCTGTGCAACGCAAGCCTTAGCCACTCTGGAGCTGTGGCTCTCTTTTTTTCCTTTCTTGTCAAACAAAACGAAACCACTGGCCCTGGGTTTGGAGAACATTGTGACATGGTTTCTTAATTCTTTCCACACCTGTCAAACCAAAAATCTATCAGCTCATGTGACATGTAAACCCAGCTCTGGCCCGCCCAGGGTCTGGTTGGGGAACAGTGCATGCTGAGAGGAAGCAGCCCCTCCCGCCAGCTCTCCAGCCTGGACGGTCGTGTTGAAATGAATGATGTCTATGAGTCTTACAGCAGCCAGTCACCGCTGCAGTTCCCACCTGCACGCCACCATTAAATAACCTGGCCAGGTGCCCTCCCAAGGACTGAAAATACGAGTTCTCCAGGAAAAAACCCTGGTGGGGTTCCACTAGGAGATACCGAAGCCTCTCTGCATTTCTTCGTTACCTCTCACCTCCCACCCGGTCAGTTGGAGCCTGGGGAGAAAGAGCTGTGTGAGCTTGGAGTCTTTCCTCCTCAGTGCCGAGAACGGAGCCCTGGAGCCCTGCATCTCTCCAAGGCCACATGTGGTGCATCAGCCCCGGGTGTGGTGACTTAGACTTGGGAAACCAATTATGAGTGGAAAAGGAACCTCTACTTCAACTCTGTGGAGGAGGAAGCAGCCCCCTGTGTGCACCCCCCTCATGCGCCCTATCATGTGCCACGAAAACCCCTCTGATGTCCTCAAGCCAGCACCTGCAGCCCGTGTCCATCCTGTTTGTTTCCATCTGTCTTCCACCCGACTGCCAGGCCACCCTTCTCAAAGATAGTGTTATCTTTTCTCACCCAAAGTGTTAACACTACTAAGTCTTTCACCTTAATTTCTGACTCAGGATTTATTCACATCCTGGTCACTACTGGCTCGAAGAAATAAAATCCAGCACTAAATAAGCTGGCTGCTGCAAGGCAGTTGGCTCATAGAACTGCTTGTAGGAGTGAGTGCCGCGCGGTGTGTTGGCTCCCAGCAGCGCCTCTGCTGCCCACCCACGCTGAGCCCCTTGGTGAGTGGGCTGTCTGTCGAGTTGGGTCATCTGTTCACTGTTGCGGTCACAGCGAGCTCCACGTCACTGGCCTTCAAGTGAGCAGCCGTGGGCTGCAGGCAAACTGGAGCGCGGAGGTGCAGCATGCGGCTCTTCTCAAAAACTCTGGCCATTCGCTGCCTCTAATTCCCTGTTGCTTTGGCATATTGGGCTAAGTCTTACCTCCTTGAAATAATAAATTAATAACATTTTCTACGACGTCTCTTATTTGTGATCTGTGCCAAAAAAATTCCTTCAGGATGCCTAATGTTAGGAGGTACTGCAGGTTACTTGTTGATTGCCCATCTTCCCCTGGTGATTACAAAGAGGTCTGACTTGATCTCCTCACTCCAGTTGAGGACGCAGTGGGCCTGAAAAGGAGTGGGAAAGTTATTTCCCCACGCTTTGTGTAGCAATTCCGTTTACTTGTGTCCTAGCACTCCATACACTGTATATCATTGACTGCCTGTGTGCCTGTCTCCCCATGAGCAGGGACTGTGCTCTGTAGCTCCAAAGCTGGCATTCAGCACCTGGTGAGTAGATTGATGGATGGGTGGATGGACGTCCTAGACAGAGGCAGAGATGCTGTCACAGGAACAGAGTGGAATTCCGTGGTCACCTGGTTTTCCTCCTCATTGGGCCAGAGACCCTCTCCCAAGGGTGGCTAAGACAGTGGGTACCCTGTGGCCTAACCCTCCTGGAGGGAAGAGACGAAGGTGCCCTCAGAGGTAGGGGATACACTACATCCAAATCTTGGAATGTAATTCCTGCCTCCTGTGCTATTTTTACCCTGCTAACAAAGGTTCGGGCTGCAAAGTAACACACCGAAATGCATCCTTCCCATCGCTGTAACAAAAGACTAAGCCTCTTAGACACCACCAGAAACCTCAAGGTACTGTGAGATTAATTGCAGTAATAATTGCTGTGATTAAGAGACAAGAGACTCTTCAGTGTGAGCTGGCTTTGTACCAAGGAGTGGGGATTTGAGCTGGGCCTCAAAGGGTGGGTAAGATTTGGCGAGGCTGAGGAGAGAGGGTCGCTCACTGTATTATTATCTCAGAGGAGTTTACAGTGGCATATCCACGACATTCCCTTTCCACTCCCAGTTGGGTCCAGTGGTTTCCCAGTAAATTCTCTGAGGGGTTTATCATGTTGGGATCCTTAAATAGGAGACACTTAAACATAGCATTCAAGATGGGTTACCCCAAATAAGTATTTCCCCCCATCAATAAAGAAAGAAAAAACTACAACAGATCTGTATATCCAGGTGGGCCTGACTTCCCTCTTAGAGCACACCTCAGATACCCCTTGAATGCTGTATAAGGTGTGAAGCCTGCCAGGCCCTCCTGGGAGCAGAAAAGGCCTCTCATGGATCAGCTGGTGTAAACTCTTAGGTAATCATACATGTAAACATGATTCCTAAACTGCCCTCTCTCGATGGCATCATTTCTGAGCTAGAAGCCACATGTTAGATTCTGGCCAGTAGCTCCATGATAGGGCACAACACAAACGAAAAGATGAACAGCCTTTCCCCTTTGCTGCTCTGCCCTTCACTTGCTGCTGTTCCCTCTCTTGGGAATAACTATGTGACCTGCCGTGACACATAGGAAGGAGAACTGTATGATTTAAGACATTGTTGGAACTGACAGAAAACCTGACTCAGACTGGCTTAAAGCCAAGAGGAAATGTGTTGACTCGAACTGCAAAGTCTAGTAATTAGGTTGGCAGTATGAGTGGCTTCAGTAGGTCTCTGTCCTCTCTCCATCTCTCCCCAATGCTTCCTCTATACTAGCCCCAACCTCAGGGTCCCTCTGTGTGGTTGCAAAATGGCAGCAGCAGCAGCAGCTCCAGACCTTACATCCTGTTGAGTTCAAGTTCAGCAGAAAAGAGCACGTGCACTGCTCCAGTCCTTCCCAGTGAGGATCGTTGCATTCCATTGGCTTTGATCAAGTCCAGCGAACTTTCCGAGAAGCAATCACAATGGCCAGGAGAATGCAGTGCACTGATTGGCTTAAATCTTGGTCACATGCTTTTCCCGCAGTGGGAAATGAGGCTTCATCAGATTCACATAATCTAAGGATGGGGGAGGAATGTAGCGCCAAATGAAAACTTAGGGCTGTTGCCGAAAGGGGGAAATGGATGCTAGAGAGGCAAATCGCCACTGTTCTCTACAACAGTGGATTATTACTGAGATGGAAACCTGTAGTGGACACTGTTGGCTTCCTACTCCCCTAGCATCCATCCCCCCTTCCCTACCTGTAGTAGCCAAAAAGTTTGGGTGAGCTTGGCCTCCTTCCTACCCCTAGGGCCAGGCTGCAATTAGCCTAAGCCAATCATTTTAATCCATCCTCCTTTACTTCAGTAATCTGTTCAAGTTTGGTAGTAACCCAGGCCTAAACCAATCAGCATGGCTCATCCTAGCTACAGTGATTCAGCAGGTAACCTTAAATAGTCCAAAGAGAGAAGGCCAAGACATTTGATGGTAGGGAGAAAGCAACTCTGTCCTTTTAGGGGTGGTGTAGTGTGTGGCCGGGGACTTCTACAATAATTTTCCTACCCAGAAGGAAGCCAACCTGAGAAGCCAGCACACACACACTCCTGAGAACATGGCCAGAACCCTTATCACACCGCTCCTGAGGCCCTTCTGCTCTGGATTTTTCAGTTATATGAGACATTTTGAGTTATATTTACTATTACAACCAAAAGCATCCTAATACATACAAAGTGCTATCCCAGATTAGTCCCAAGGCCAAGGAGGTCCCTACTTGCTGCCTAAAGAACCCTGATCACTCTTGCCACATCCACCCAAATAATAACCCCTAAGAGAGCCCCTTCTGCTGTATTGCACTTTCCTCATTTGATCCTTGACTCAGCCTCATGAAGTGGGTGAGGCAGGTGTATTATCTGCATTTTACAACTGGAGAAACAGGTCAGAGAGCTTAACCCAGGGATCCACAGCTATTGAGTGGTAGAGTCTGCACCTGAGCCCATACCTGCTGCCTCCAAAGCCCATGCTTCTCCCATCACTCCAGGACTCTAAAGGAAAGGTGACAGGCATGCTCTCAGGGGGTGGGTGCAGTGGTTAAGCATGCTTGGGTGACCTCCAGGGCTGGATGACTGAGGCCCTTAATGCCTGCCTCCATCTTTCACTGGGAAGGGGGTGGTGACAGCAGGACAGGGTCACCTCACCTTCTAATTGACCCTCCACTCTACCCTGTCAAGGCACAGGGTGGCATTCGCTGCACTGTGCATGCTGTCCCAGTGCAGAGTGTGAGGCTGGCGTGACTCAGGCAGCGATGCCGTGATGAGTCAGTCTTCCCGGGAGCTGACCACAGCCCTGATGACAGCCAGCCTTCTCCAACTCACCCAGCACGCCTAGCCGGTCCCTGGACACCCTGTTGCACTTCCCTGCAATAACGCTTATCGTCTCTACTTTTCACAGCTGGTGCATGAGGTTCAGATAACCTGGGCTGGGTGGCCTGAGCTTCCTCCCCTCTACTCCCCTGGCACATCCAAGAACAAAACCAGGCAGGGCCAGGACAGAGGGCTGATTACTAGCCAGCCCAGCTTAGTGGAAAACTTTCCCTTGCCCTCTGGTCGCCTTGCAGAAACAGCCCAAAAAATACAAAAACAGCAGCAACAATAATTATAATTATTTTTTAAAAGTAATCCGTTATTTTAGAATAATTTTAGATCAATAGAAAAGTTGTAGGATGGACTTCCCATATACACCACACCCATTTTCCCGTTGTTAACATCTGACTTCACTATGGTACGTTTATCAAAACTAATGAACCAATATTGATACATTATTTTAACTTAAGCACATTTTTTATTTAGATTGCATTAGTTTTTACCCAATGTGCTTTTTCTGGTCCAGGATCCCACCCAGGATGCCACATTACATTTAGTTGTCACGTCTCCTTAGGCTTCTCTTGGCTGTGACAGTTTCTTAGACTTTGTTTTTGATGACTTTGACATTTTTCAGGAGTGCTGGTCAGGTATTTTTGTAGGATGTCCCTTGTCTTAGTTACAAAGTGCTGCTATAACAGAAATACTACAAGTGGATGGCTTTAGCAAACAGAAATTTATTCTTTCACAGTCTAGGAGGCTAGAAGTCTGAATGCAGGGTGCCAGCTGTAGGGGAAGGCTTTTTCTGTCTGTTGGCTCTGGGGAAGATCCTTGCTTCCTTTCAACATCTGTGGGCCTGGCATTCCTTAGAGATTTCCACATGTGTCTTGGCATCAATCTTCTGGGTGTAGGAGGTTCTTAGCGCAGGGACCCCAG